AAAAAAAAAATCAAAACCCTCATTCCAACCTTCACATTCCAAAGGAAAAATAACAGTGCAAAAGCCCATCGCATCATGATTTCCAATCCGGCCCTCAGTGTTACATACCGGAACCGCACCAATCCAATTTTTATTATCCAAAGTGGGACACGCAGCAGTGTCAATATCCGAATACTTTTAAAGCATGAACATTTTCTGTTTATTAGCCAACACAACTTTCAACTGTTAAAAAACAGACAAGGTGAAACATGATTTGAAGGGTAGGAGTTAAATATCACATCCCAAGGTAACCACCTCCTGCTCGTCAGTAACAGTGGGAATAATGAGTGCTGGAACCAGCAATCTTGATCCATTAAGCTACTAAAGTCTAATTAAACCTCTAAGTCAGAAAATATTTATCAGCTTTGTTAGAAGTTAGAATCATGAAGCTGATGAGCAAAACTGACCAACAGATACCAAAAAAAAAAAAAATTAAAAAAAAAGCACTTTATACCTTTGTTTACCAATAGTAATTACTGGAAGTCCTGCCTTGTCTCATTCAAATCCTTACCATTAATGCTGTTGTACAGGGCCCTTACAGATTCCATATACAGTTCTTATCTAGGCGAGAACACAGCTAATGAACTTCAATGTCAGCACCAATAAGTTAATCAAGAGAGGGGGGGGGGGGTGTATTACATCCTGAAAAAAAAAAAGGGTGTCAATTTGGGGACAGCTATTCATGGCGTACTTTAGAGAGAACAATTTTGTCAGCTACTTCACATTTGTATGCAACAGTAGTTATACTCTTAAGTCATCTGCAGTCTGGGCATGTCAATTATATACTGAAAGTGAATCTCAAGCCCTATTCCTAGCTATATAGCTACAAACAATACAATACTGCCAGTTTAGGAATCTAATTTGTTGGGTGGTTTTTGGTGTTTTTTTTTTTTTTTTAATAGCAAACAATATATTTGGGGCAAGCTCTGCTTTTTAAAGTACACATCTTCATATACATACAGTGTCGAGAATTTACTGCAACACTGATGTTCTCTACATCGTGTGTAATGTCTGTTTTTAAAACATCATAGGTACTGAGTATTCAAGTAAAATTCCCTAAAAGTTAATGACTTTTTTTTTTTAAAAAAGTGTGCAAAACTGCAAAACTCATTGTAATAGAATGTGTAAGGTCAAAGGGGTGGAACGGCTGACAGAGGTTTGATTGAATAAATGCATCATAAATCTTCAAAACAAACACTAACCTGGAGAATCTCCAATTGAAATTTCCTGTGCACCATTACAAAATATTTTTGTATTAACAAGAAAAAAAGCTTGTAAGGCAGCACATGAAGTATTCACAGCAGGAA